CTTGTAAGTCGTGTATAGCTGGATCCTGTTTGTAAATCCAGTCCGGCCTGACAGTTATCCTTCTCCAGAACACCAAACACAATGCATCTCATTCTGGCCTCTACTTTTCCTGCTGCGGCCTATTTCCCATCCAACCGTCGACCCGAACGACTCATCTGTCTGTCACTGGCCGTTCCTATGACATTTTCTCTGACCTCCCATATGTAGCGGCTTCACTCCGGTTTCTCCAGGTGTGATATTTTAATGTCACTTTCTTGAGACTTGTTTGTTTAGTGACCATAAAAGCCCATGTCTCTCACAGGTGCTGGAAAGTTCTGGCCACCACCTGTGTGCACAGGGGCTCCCACGGCATGTCTTCCCATCCCAGGCCTGCTGTTCATTCTGCCCTAACCTCTCTTCCAAATCCGTGCCCTCCCTCGGTGCTGCCCACTCAATAATTTTCTCCTTCTACTTTAATCCTCTCTTCTGCTGGGTCTAATGAATGGTAGATTTCAACGACCGTAAGTTTGGTTGCTAGAAGTTCTGTTGGGCTCTTTTCAAAAACCTGAGAGCTCTCCTTTCAGAGTCTTGTTCTTCACGTTAATTACCTGTTTTGGCTCCATTCACATGGCTGCTATAGGGTGTCAAGGCCCTGGGGTAGATCACTGCTAATCACAATGCCAGTTAATGTCCAGTCCTGGCGCACACTTTCTCTGTCTCATGCTTTTTCCGTCGTGAGCTCATCTTCAGGGGGCTTTTCTGTGGGAAAACCACAGGCCTGTGCTGAGAGAGCAGCCCCCAGGGCGGCGGTTCTCCAGGGCAGTCGGTCCACCGCTGCTGTCCAGGAGACCCTTTCAAGCGGTCCTTGAGATCAAAACCACATTCCTAATAATAGCAACGTTATTTACCTCTGTCATGGCGTTGCCGCCTGCATGGCTGGTGTGAAAGGTGAACAAAATGCAGACACATTGGCATGAGTCAAGGCAGTACCACCCAAGCGTATTCTTAGTACCTCGCACTCATGGTGAAGAAAATAAATAAAAGGCAATTTTGCTTAAGGATGTCCTTGATGAAGTTCCTAATTTTATGATTAATATTGCGTTAGATCTCGACCCTCAAGTAAACATCTTTTCAATATTCTGTGTGGCAAAGTGGGGAACACAGAAAGCCCTTGAGATGTGTACCAAAGAACAGTGATTTCTTCCCAAAACGCCCCTGGTCAATTGTGGGAGCTGTGAGTGAATTAGATAACATTTTTCAAGAAACATCATTTTCACTAGAAGAAATGACTAACAGGCAAACTGGTTATTCAAACTTGGGTATTTAGCACTTTCTCAAAAATGAACAAAGACTGTCATTTCAAGGAAAACAACCGGCAGTATGTGTTGCCAATAATAATATTTGAGCTTTTAAGCCAAACTCTGAATTTTGAAGAACTTTTGTCTGCCACTCTGGGCTTAGCAGCTTCTTCTGACAAGACAGTGGTAATGCTACGAGACGTGATGCTGTATGACGAAGTGCGTCAGCATCTAGAAGCTCAGCACACCTCAGTCACCCACTATTCCCCAAACGGTCAGCATTCGAGGCTACAGAACCACACGTGGGCAAAACACCACTCAACGTGCAAGACAGGCCAACGGACTTCAACGTCACTGAGTACAAAATGGTGGCTGACATGGCTTCAGCTGCCACACGGCAGGCAACCTTCAGGAAGCCACCGTATGCTAAGCTATGGTCTAGTGTTAACAAGCAAACATCCACAGTCGTCAGGAGAGCGCTATGAAAATTCTCCTCCCTCTCCCAACGCCCTGCCTGGGAGAGGCCGGACTATTTTCACATACTCCCATCAAAACCAACATATCTCCACAGACTGAATGCAGAAGCACACGTGAGAAATTAGGTATCTTCTATGGAGTCAGACCTTACAGGGTCTTAACACAGGGGAACACAGTGCCCTCCTTCTCACGAAATAGTTATGTTTCAAAAATATTAATTACCGAGATATGTTATTTATAATAGCATATAAGGAATTTATCGCTGTTACTTTAAGATAAATTACTAAATATTTTTAAATGATCTCTGTTTGAGTTTCTAACATAGTAAATACCGACAGAATTCACCCACATGAGTCAAAGCTCTTTGAGTTCCTCATGACTTTTGAAGACTGTAACGTAGCCCCGAGACACGAAGCTGGAAAGCCTTGATGGAGAACCATTTTTTTTTTTGTTTTGGAGTAGCACCAGGATTTCCCTATGCAGGACCAGCTTTATTTTATTTCTACCCCTTGCCAAGATAATAAAACCTTAACTTTTAGGCATGACTGTAATCATTCCCTTCACACTTACTAGCGTCCACTAGTGGGGTCATCACTCCTCGTGTCGGGAGGACTCCCTCCCCTTGGTAAGGAGTCCAGCTTTAAATTTTAGACAATTCTTGCTCAACATCACCCAACGCCTCCAGGCATATGCTGGGAGGGAGCAGCTTCTTTCTGGGCCTAGTCTGTCATCCTCCTGGGACAAGAGGCTCCCAAGCGCCAGAACTCTGGCCCCCCACCTCCAGGACCCCTAGAACTCTGCCGTCCATCGGCGGTCCTCTCCACGCACCCCTGGCCACCAGGATACGCATCCTGCAGGGACAACAGGTTGGTGACTGTGCACAGCCCCTGTACATAGCAGGCGCTCACCACACTCTGGCCAAATGCAGAACAGAGTCTCAGACTGAGGCCACAAGGTGAGCCGAAAGCAGAGTTACGTCTCCAGAAAAATGAGCAGATGTGGTTTTTGCCCTCTAGAACGTAGCCAGCAAAATGGAAGTCATTTCCACTGATTTCAGCTGGACACGGTCATAAAGCAGAGTAGAAAACCACAGGCTTCAGAGCTCACATGTGGGTCCCAACACAGGCTCTTTGACCCCAGGCAAGGGATCTGTGTGTGTGCAGAGTGTGACATCTGCTCTGCTGTGAAGCTAAGAGCCACTCGGACACACTAGCCATCACTGCCCACTGACCACGGGAAGCCCCATCGCTGCTGCCGAGGAGAGCAGGAGAGCTGCTGCACGGCCGTGGCCCAGCGACTCGGACTCCCTGCAGTCTCCCTGGCACGTGGATTTAGCATCACTCGATAGACAGCCCTGAACTTCCTGAGCTGCAGGGAACTGGTGAAGGCCAGGCTGACAGGGCCTCGCTTAACAAGGCCAAGCATGAGTTCTCAATGGTTTTCAAGCAGGGCAGTGATATGATGAGAAGGTGCTCCAGGAAGACGGCTCTCGAGTTGTCAGGAGAGAGCAGAGAGGATAGGGCGAGCCCAGGTGTATGAGAGCAAGTGCAGCAACAGAAGCTTCCAGCTCCTCAGGGCGCTGACACCCGGTCCGTCTTTCCGCCTGCTTCTCCGTCCCCTCAGACCCTCACACCTGTCCACACAAAGCAGTGGGGGCACCCGCACACACCCAACAGCCCCCCAGAGGAGCTCTCCTCATCTCAGGGAATGACAGATCTCCCCGAGTCCCCCAATGCTGGTAACCTGCTCACGTCAGGGCCCTGTGGCTTGCGGCAGCCTGCAGAGGGCAGTGAACGCGCGTACCCGGAGAAAGCCGCACTGCACACATGCACGCACACGCACACGCACACGCAACCCTGGTCCAAAACCCATTTCATCAGACGGCAAACTTCAGATGAAAAATGAAAAGCCAGGGTCACTTCCAGTGTAGAGCTGGTTTTATTCCCAAACAGAAGCAGGATAAGTACGTAAATGGCAGGAATTCCATCACTCATGATCACAGAAGTGACACCTGAAATTTATAATGTCTCACGTTATGATTCAATCCCTTTCTTAGACGGAAAAAAAAAAAGTCTTACATTTTGGGAGAAGACTAACACATATGAAAACGTTAACAATGGAGGGGAATGATAAATCGAGACTTGGGCCAAAATCGTATTTTCCTCTGTAAGAGGCAAACAAGGTTCTTACTTGTCATTACGGGAAGGCCTTCTACTTGCTCTTTGTCGCTTCTCAGTTATCAAAAGTAAGGTGAGCCCACACCGTTCTCTCCCACACAGTCATTCTGGCTAATTTATTCAAATTAAACCTCAGGACCCAAATCTGGAGACCACATCATGTAAAAGTCTTCCTCGGGCCCCTTTTAGCCCAGCAGCTGAGCCAAGGCCTCCACGGGCAAGTGGTGTCGGGAACAGCACCATGACAACGGCTCAGGAAGGCCCAGCCTGGCTGGAAATGCAGGTAACAAGTGCACCCCATCAACTTCTCCCCTACTCACCTGCGACAAAAGGGGTCCCGGCACAGCGCACAGACGCCCACACGGCCTCCGCCCCTGGGGCATCTTTGGAATGAACCCAGCCCATGAGGTCCCGCAGAAAACCTCCATCAACCAAACCCTGCTCTGGGCTCTACACACCCGCCACCATCCCCGTCACCCCTCCTCCAAGTCTCACTGCATTCTCAAATCGGGTCCTCGGGAGCACGTGTCTTATGCCCCCTCCAGGTCTACCCTGTGTCCCACACTGAGCTCCTGGGAGGCCTCTGCTGACATACCTCTCCCTCCCCAGGAAGGCACGCAGCCCCTGGCACAGAGTGTGCATCTACAAAAGCCCTGTCAGCACAGAATGAGGCTAAGATGGTCCACACCCACCAGGGGACCTCCATCTACCTCGACCACGGACTGCTACATCAAGAGGCTCCAGTCCTCCTTCCTACTCTGTGTAGGGTCTTTCCCCCAAACCACTTCCATAAAATCACCCCTGGCCCTGGGAGACCTGCGGCCTTTCTGCAAAAATCTCTGCCATCCACCCTGACTGACACCAAGTCCAGCAGAGCCCCACACACACGCAGTATTTCTCACACCTGTCGACCCTGTGAAGGAGGCATAGCCCAGGCATAGAAGGGGAGGCTTCAGAAGGCAGCACGTGGCCAGGCTGAGCCCAGAGGCAGGCCTGTGCAACAGGCCCAGTGCCCCCCAGCCCCATGACACTGGTTTCAGATACAGAGTCCAGGCCGGCAGGAGCTCACCTGAATACCATCCAGCAGCTTGCTCATGCACCAGTACGTGTCGGCCTCGACGTTACGCAGCACGTCTGCGGGCACGCGGGAGACGTCGGCAGCGTCCACATCCTCCTCCTCTGTGCACCAGGGAGCATGGAAAAGACAGCGAGCGGTTAATCCACAGGACACACCACGGGGCGGGGCTGGGGGGGGGGGGCACGGCTGGTAGAGACTTGCACGCGGCAGGCAAGGTCACGCCGGGGCCCATTTTTCTTGCTCGAACTAGATGGCTCATAGGCTTCAACCTCATCACTTAATGGTTCTCCATTTTAATACCTAATTAGTTGCAGATAATTAATATTCTGAGTCTTTTCCAATTAATTAACATAATTAATATATTATAAATTATTGCTTCTCAGGCAATTCACCTCCTAATAAGAGAGGGCCTAAAAGACATTACTTATTCCCAACACAGATCTGAAAGCTTTTTCATAAGATTGTTTAAAATTCTGCTTCTAATGTGGTTACATATTCATTAGACAATAATTTCTCTCAAAACCGGTTCCCAAGGTGAGGGTTTCCAAAACCACGCTGGGCAAAGACCCCTCGGCTACAGGCGAGCGCCCGTGAAAGCAGGAGCCTGAAGAGAAAGAACAGGCGGCAGTGTTCTGGATAGTCTCCTTCTTCGGACACAAAAAACCCAATGAGAGAACATAACTTAAAATTTTTAAAATGCAAAACAGACACTTAACTGAAATGGCTTATCAGACGTTTGAACGAACTAGTTTTAGATCCTTACAAACGCCGCTATCATCCAGCACAACACTCATAAATGTTTTAGAAATTATGCGTTCTATTTTTTCATTTTATTTAATTTTGTTTTATTTTGCCAACATGCAGGGCATCCCTGCAAGAAAAACATTCTTGAAGCAAAGAAACATTTCTGTTGAGAACATATTTGGAAAGTTTTAAGTAGGTAGAGATGACAATAATCCTCAGAATACTAATTGCTACCACCTGTTGCGTAGCTGTGAGGTGACAGGCGCTCCTCCCCACGATCGAATGTCCTCGCTCATGAACCCCCGTCACACGTCTGCTACCACCACCACTGCGCCCCTTGGAAACAGGCTGCAGTGAAACAGCAGGTGTGGCCCCTGGGGACAGCCCGTGGCAGCGTGGTCAGGACACAGGCCCTCCTGACAGGCAGCCCCACACAGCCTCGCCTCACGTCACAGCACGTGGCTGCGAGAGCCACGGTGAACCCCCTTCCACTCCGCTCCCTGCTCACGACAGAAACCACAATGGTGACAACAGGCCAGGCGAGTGCAGACCCAAGCCTGGCCAGGCCCTGCGTGTGGGCCACACCGGTCTCCACAGGCAGGCCCCGCCCTGGACACGCATCCATCCCAGCTGCGTACAGCCACGAGGACACGTCCCCATCAGCTCTGCTCTCAGCCTCTTGTCACCGCATGTCCCCGGGGCGCCCAGGACCACGTCTGTGGGGACTGAGGCCTGGAAAGTCACTCTGTCCCCACTCATTCCTTCACTGCCCCGCTCACTCAACAAGCTCTTCTGCATTTTGGTTTCATTCAGGGGTTTATTTTATTGCGATGTAGTCCATATACAATAAAATTCACCTTTTTTAAAGCACAAAAATCACTGGGTTTTAGTGTCTCAGAGTTGGATAACCATCACCACCACGTAATTCCCGAACTTTTTCACCACCCCAAGCCAGCCCATCAGCAGGCACTCCCCATTCCCCCAGCCCCTGGCAACCACCCCTCTGTGCTCTGCCTCCGTGCATCTGCCCGTTCTGGACATTGCACGTAATGGGATTATGCGGGATGGAGCCTTCCGTGTCTGCTCCCTTCGCTCAGCGCCAAGCTCCTGGGGTCATCCAGGCCACAGCCTCGTGCCAGCACCTCAGTCCTCTCCATATAGCAGAAGAACATTCCGAGGCATGGATGGGCCATACTGCCTATCACTTGTCCCCTGTGGAACACTGGGCTGTCGTTCCCTTGCTGGGACAATGCGACAACACACAGCAGGTGCTCCCCGTGTGGTGGCTCAGTCCCTACGCTCCAGGGCCTTGGGCACACAGATGAGTTAAGAGGCGATGCCTTGCAGAAGCTCAGAGCTCCTCCCCACGGATGCAGGACTATGGTGAAGGCGTTCCCAGGCTGGCCTGGCCAGCTCTGAGCTCCCTCCTCAGTTCGAGCCCGCCGGGGACCTGTGCCCTGTCCCAGCTGCCCCGAGGGCTGTGGGCTCTCCCTCCCACAGCCCGGCACCGCTCTGCCCCCTGGCCACGGCCCAGCAAGGTGCCTGGCCTCAGACCTTGGCTGTCCGGGGAGGCCAACGTCAGGCTCACACACAGCCTCCGATGAAGCCCCGCCAGGTATGGCTCTGCCGGAAATGCTGGCTCTGAAGGCCTGAGGCAGCCTAGGGGGGAGGCACCAACTCCGCCTGTCTACAGAGGAGGAAGCGAGGTCTCCTGGGGTCACTACCGAGCACATGACACCGTCCTGCTGGAAGAGCAAGCCGGCGGGTGCGAGTGTAAGCGGCCTCCTCCGGCTTCGGCGGACTCAGCTCCACTCCCTACCACCCTAGAGCAGGTCTGATTTTATCCCCCATCTCAGGGAACAGACTCCACCACAATCCTCAGAGGACTACTCCTGAGAAGTTTTCCATCGACGCATTCTCTTTCCAGGGCCTTCAAAGCACCAAGATGTTGCCTCGGCTGTTAGGACAGAGCATCCCCAGCTCATAGGGGCAGCGGGCCCCCCAGTGCAGGAGCGCGGGACACAGGCCTCGGAGATGTTTCTCGGTCTGCTTAGCTGTCTTACTGCCTTATGCCAGGAAAGGTCAGCTGGGCAGCCTCTTTCAAGTGTCACCTCTCACAACGGGCCATTTGTCACTCTTCAATGTAATGAAGTAATGGCATTTAACTCAGAGCACCCCTATGCCAATCTGTCTTCAAAAAAAGCCAAGAGAATCGGAATGACCCTCATTGTCAGAATGAGATAAATATCCATCCTCCTGGAGAAAACATCGGCTGACACAGGAGAAAACGCGGAGGGCAGCACAGAACACTCCAGAAGGCTTGCGCCGCAGGCACAGGGTCAGAGCCGAGAACAGAACACCCCACCAAGGCTGGCACAGCTGCTACGGGGTCCTCCTGGGGCTCCCCACAGGAGATGGGGCTCTAATGGTTCCTGGGGGCACAGCCCAGACCAAACCAGGAACAAAAGCCGCACGTTCAGCACAGGTGCTGTCGGTCAGAGGCTAACTTACTGCAGCATCTGCCACGAGGCCCGGGAGACTCAACACTGTGGGCCAGGAGGGGCCCTCAGAGGCAGACCCCAAAATGGCCAACAGTCGTGACAGCTTACAACTCAAACCCAACCGGCTCCAAAGGTAATACATGCCTCCCACCAGGGCATGCTGCCTCCACATCTCTGGGGCAAGGAGGGGGGCCAGGGGGGGCGGGAACCCAAACGGGGAGCCACCAGGGAAGCCTGGGGCCTCAGGAGCCCTCCTGTCCGCGGACACAGAGGCTGCGCTACGCAGTGCTTTGCCCCCTAAACATGGGCCGCGTCAAGGGACGGGGAGAGACCAGAAACACTGCCCCACCGAGATCACAAAGGAGAGGAAACCACTGACGTGGACGGTTCCAGGCAATCCCGGGGTTCAAAAAAAGAAACACAACTCCAAGGGGAAATCGGTAGAATCACAGGAATGGGACAAGCCTGGCGACAGCGGAGGGGACGGGGCCTTGGGAACCATGCCGCGGGGCCGGGGCTGGACAGGGCTCTCGGTGCCAACCCCTCTGGGCCACGGGGATGTGGGCTTAGCTAATTCTGACCCACGCTGCGCAGACGCTCCAGGAGCAGCTCCACAAGCTGCTCGAGGCCGCCGTCTGCCATGGGAGGTGGCTGCCCAATGGGGCACCCCTGGACCGTGACCCCAAGCACCCCGTACACGGCCCTCTCCCAGCCAGGCAGGCAGGACGGACAGGCTCTGGAAGCCAGCACGGGGAAGGTACTGCGGACTCACGAAGGCAGCACGGATACCAAACACATGACTGCCAACAACAGAATTTAAGCCAACCTGTTTCATCTGAAACTGGACTGGATCCCACGTCCTACTGTATCCCGTCAGCACAAACATGGGCACGCACACACACTGCCGTCGAAGAGCTGCAGCCAGCCTGCTCCCCAGCTGCCCACAGCACCACCCATCAGGGCCAGGCCCTGCACCTTGAGGACCCCGAGCTGAGAAAGCTGGGAGCTCTGACTCCCAGAGCCCAGAGTGACAGGGAGACCAACACATGCACAGTCTAAGCCGAGTGCACATGGGGAAGCAGGGAAGACACTGCCCGGCCCGGGACAGACAACCAGCCACAAGTGCACGTGCAGGCGCAAGATATAAAAAACAGCCATTTAATTTATAAAATCTCTCACCTGCCTTCTCAAATCATGAAACGGCTTTAGGGGATGATTTAAATAAATTCTTTGAAAATGCTACCCTGCCATATTATTGTTGAAAAAGCAATTTGTAAAATAATCTCATCTTTATCAATGACACCGTTTATATCAAAAACTCCAACCCTCACCTGTCTGTGTGCACAAGCACCCAGAGAACATTACTCAGAAAGATGCCAGAAACATGACCGTGGTGCCCCCTGGGAAAGAACATCGCGGGTGGTGGTAACTACAACTCTTCACTTTTTGCAGAAAGGTAGAGAGTAAAAAGAGAACATAAATTTTCACAATTAACACTTAGGACTTTTGCCAATAGGGAAAAAAAATACTGTGTAAGCAGCTGGGATAGTTTCACTAAGGTCTATCTTTCCATGGATAGCCCTAGAGAAAGTTCCCAACGGTGGTGGTGCCCTTCTAAGCGTTCTGAGAAGCTCGTGGGGCATTTGGGCGTCAGGACAATTAGGGTAGGGAACTGCTGGCGATCAGTGAGGGGGGGGGAGGGGGTCAGCACTGCCCATCGTAGAAATGTGAACAGCATGGCACAATTAGCACATCCAGAGTCAGTCGTGACTCGCCCACCAGCCTGGGTGGGTGGGTGGACCGGCAGAAGGGTAGGTAGATATAAGGAACTAATAAAAGAATGGAGGACATTCTGG